CCCAGGCGCCGATGTCCTGGTTGAAGTTGTCGGCCGAGCGGAACATGCCGCTCATGTCCGTCACGGCTGACGTGTCCCAGCCGCCGACGTCCTGGTTGAAAGCGCCAGCATCGAGGAACATGTAGCTCATGTCCGTCACGGACGACGTGTCCCAGCCGCCGATGTCCTGGTCGAAGGTGTCAGTCCAGCGGAACATGGAGCTCATGTCCGTGACGGACGACGTGTCCCAGCCGCCGAGGTCCTGGTCGAAGACGTGAGCGTCACTAAACATCTGTTTCACGTCCGTCGTGGACGACAGGTCCCAGCCGCCGATGTCCTGGTTGAAGGCGCGCGCGTTGTAGAACACGCCGCTCATGTCCGCCGCGGCCGACGTGTCCCAAGCACCGATGTCCTGGTTGAAGGCGTCAGCACTGCAGAACATGTAGCTCATGTCCGTCACGGACGCCGTGTTCCAGGCGCCGATGTCCTGGTCGAAGGCGTCAGCGGAGAAGAACATGCGGCTCATGTCCGTCACGGACGCCGTGTTCCAGGCGCCGATGTCGGCACTGAAGGCGCGAGCATCTGCGAACATGTAGCGCATACTCGTCACGGACGACGTGTCCCAGCCGCTGATGTCCTGGTTGAAGGACTGCGCGTTCGTGTTGGAGTGCGTGCAGGCCCAAGAATAAACGCAAAAGAGTTCCGACATGTCCGTCACCTTCGACGTGTCCCACGCGCTGATGTGGCCGTACGTCTCTTCGGCCGCGTCCGAGTCCGCGAGCCACGCGTCGACGGCGGTCTCGAGCTCGCTCTTGTCGGCGAACGCGGCCGGCGTCGACTCGTAGCTGTACGAGAAGGTGATGTACTCGTAGAGGTAGCTGTAGCCGGACGGCGCGGGCGCCGGTACTGCCGTCGGCGCGGGCGCCGGCGCGGGCCAGAACGCCGCGGGTGCCCACGAGCAGTCCTCCGTCGCCAAGCTCGCCTTCGAGCCCGTCACGACGACGCCCGGCGTGTCGCAGAACGCGAGCGTGCCGTAGGCGTCGCCGCGCAGGTACCAGTCCTGCTCGTCGGTCGTGACGGACAGCGCGTAGACCTCGGCGGAGCCGCCCATCCCGACGTTGTCGCCGTAGCCGTTGTACGGCGCCGCGTTGTCCGCGAACGCGCAGGAGTCCAAGTAGGTGCTGCCGCCGCCGACGTAGACGGCCCCGCCCTGGTAGTCGCCGATGTTGTCCGTGAAAGAGCACCGCGTCGCGCTCCAGCCGCCGGCTGCGAAGACGGCGCCACCGTACCCCCAGTTGAGATCCGGGCCGTCGGCGAGATTCCCGGAAAAGAGGCAGTCCGTGGTGGTGAGGCTGCCGAGGGCGTAGATTCCACCGCCGTTCGCTACGCCGCCGGGGTCCGAGCGCGACGCGCGGTTCGACACCAGCGTGCAGTTGCGGAGCGCGAGCGAGCCGCCGCTCGCGACGTACGCGGCGCCGCCGTGGATCGACGGCGACGAGGAGTCGTCCGCGAGCCCGTTCTTCAGCACGAGGCCGTCGAGCGTGAGGTGGCCCGTGACGTAGAAGAGGCGCGTGAAGCCGCCGCCGTCGATCGCGCGGTCCCCGGTGTCCGAGGAGATCCGCGCGGTGTAGTCGACGGCCAGCTGCGAGTAGAGCTCGACGTCGGAGGAGATCTGGATCTCGGGCTGCCCGTCGGCGACGGCGGCAACGAGGTCCCGCTGCTCGCCGTAGGAGTAGGAGTACTCGAGCAGGAGCTCGTACTCGTAGCTGTAGCTCGCGTCGAGGGGCGTGGGCGTTGATGTAGGCGGAAGGCAGGAGAAGCTGACGCCGCAGTTGGTGACCGTGCAGCCGGAGGAATCCGCGAACTTCGACGCGGGTGAGATGGAGACGCACCAGCCGAGGTCCTGGTCGAACGCGGAAGCGTAGTAGAACATGGAACTCATGCTAATGACGGACGACGTGTCCCAGGCTCCGATGTCCTGGTTGAAGGCGTCAGCACCGTAGAACATCCCGCTCATGCTCGTCACGGACGACGTGTCCCAGGCGCCGATGTCCTGGTCGAAGGCGTCAGCGCCGAAGAACATGTAGCTCATGTCCCTCACGGACGACGTGTCCCAGGCGCCGATGTCCTGGTCGAAGGCGTAAGCGTAGTAGAACATCCAGCTCATGTCCGTCACGGACGCCGTGTCCCAGGCGCCGATGTCCTGGTTGAAGGCGTCGGCCCAGCGGAACATGTAGCTCATGTCCGTCACGGACGACGTGTCCCAGGCGCCGAGGTCCTGGTCGAAGGCGCGAGCAACGTAGAACATGTAGCTCATGTCCGTCACGGACGACGTGTCCCAGGCGCCGATGTCCTGGTCGAAGGCGTAAGCGTAGCCGAACATGTAGCTCATGTCCGTCACGGACGACGTGTCCCAGGCGCCGATGTCCTGGTTGAAGGCGGAAGCGTAGTAGAACATCCAGCTCATGTCCGTCACGGACGACGTGTCCCAGGCGCCGAGGTCCTGGTCGAAGGCGCGAGCAACGTAGAACATGTAGCTCATGTCCGTCACGGACGACGTGTCCCAGGCACCGAGGTCCTGGTCGAAGGTTTTAGCGCTGTAGAACATCAAGGTCATGTCCGTCACGGACGACGTCTCCCAGGCGCCGATGTCCTGGTTGAAGGCCTCAGCACCGGCGAACATTCTGCTCATGTCCGCCACGGCCGACGTGTCCCAGGCGCCGATGTCCTGGTCGAAGGCGTCAGCAGTGTGGAACATGCCGCTCATGTCCGTCACGGACGACGTGTCCCAGCCGCCGATGTCCTTGTCGAAGGCGGACGCATAGCGGAACATGCTGCTCATGTCCGTCACGGACGACGTGTCCCAGGCGCCGACGTCCTCGTTGAAACCATCGCCCGCGTGAGCGTAATAGTAGTTGCCGTTCGACATAAACAGCTCCGACATGTCCGTCACGGCGGAGACGTCCCACGTCGAGATGTGGCCGTACGCGAGCGCCGCCGCGTCCGCGTCCGACAGCCACGCGTCGACCGCGGTCTCGAGCTCGCTCTTGTCCGCGAAGCTGTGCTGGCTCGCCTGGAGCCGCCTCGGCCTTGCACCCCGCGACGCCGCGTCGCCGGCTGCCACGCGACGACGATCGCCTCCGAGCGCCGTCGCGCTCCCTCGCGGAGTGAACGTCGGGTTCGCCGGCGCGTGGACGTCAGAGCCGCCGTTGACCATGCCGAGGTCGAGGTCGTCGGAGACGCGCCTGCCCAAGGCGCCGTCGACCGCCGCCTGGGAGCCCGAGCCCGCGGCGTCGTCCGCGAAGATCTGGGTGTCTGCGTCTTCGGCGACCTGCTCCGAGAGCAGGCGGGGCATCGGCCTGGACGGGCCCGACGGCGCGGCGCGTGCGGCGCTTGCGGCGCAGGCCACGAGCGCGACGGTGAGCAGAAGCATCGCTGTGAGAGAACCCGCCCGCGCCCCCGAAGCGCGTCGACGGGGCCCGGCGAATGCCAACAACGCTGGGTAGGGAGTACGCCTGAATTCAATGCAGTCACCGCGGCGTTCATCAACAATCTCCGCGACCAATCCTGGATACGACTGGCCGCGCGTCACCTGGCTCGCTCGACGCTGAAGTCTGTGCTGTGGTCAACAGTTACTGCCGTCAACCAGGAAGTTAGCCGAGCATCCCAAACAATGGGGCAGCTCCTGCGCCTGCTCCTCGGCGTCGCATCCGCCGCAGCGCTCAACTCCACCGCACCGCCGTTCTACTTCTACGAGTGCGTCGACGAGATCGGCGACCTCAACGACACGTTCTACACGCGCGCGCTCCGGCACCACCCGTCGCGCGTCGCCTCGCCCGGCGCCGCCGAGCTCTTCGTGAGCCACGTGGCCTGCTTCGTGCCCGTGGGCTTCGTCGCCGTGGACTACGACGCCGAAGTGGTGGCCGGCAACCGGTATCCCGACTGGCGCCCGCTCCAGCGGCCGCCGCCGCCGCGGCCGCCGCAGGCCGTCGTCGAGACCTTCGCCGGGAGCCGCGCGTTCCTCTTCGACCAGCGCGACGCGCTGAGCGACTTCAAGCACTGGCGCCACGAGCGCACGCACCACGTCATGACCAACTGCGCGCCGCCGCGGCACCGGCCGGGCTACGACGTCTGCTTGCCGGCCGTCCCCGAGCGCGCGGGCGCGGCGTCTCCGCCGTCGCCGGGGCACCGTCTCCTGCGTGCGAGGCCCTTTGGGGCGGACAGCTATACCGCGCTCCCGGGAACCGCGCTGGCTCGGGCCCGGGACGCGCTGATGCGCCCGAAATTCACGGGCGGCGGCGGCTGCGTTTTCGGCGACCGGCGCGGGCCGAAGCGGTACCGCGCGACGTTCCAGGGCCTCAACGAGACGCGCCTGCGGAACAAGCTCCTCGAGCTCGACGACCGCGCGCGGGCCATCGTCGTCGCGTTCACGAACGGCAGCGTGTCGTGCGAGCGGCGCTGGGCGCCCTGCACGCGGAATTCCGACAAGGCCTGCGACCCCTGCGTGCCCGCGGAGGCGCCGACGGACTGCGACCTGCTCAACGCGACCTACGTCGTCGCCGCGACGGACGGCTCCGCCCCCCTGACCTACCGGTGGCTCGAGGCGCTCGCCGCGGGCGCCGTGCCCGTGCCCTTTGTCGACGGCCGCGACGCGAAGCTGCCCCTGCCCTTCGACGGCGTCGTCGACTGGGAGCCCTGCGCGTCCGTCAACGCGGACGTCGGCGCGGTCTACCGCGTCGCGCACAACGAGGGCGCGGCGGCGACGCGGACGCGGCAGGCCGCGTGCTGGTCCATCTACGACCGCCACTTCGCGAGCGACCGCGCCGTCGGCGACACGATCCTCGCGGCGCTCGCGGCCGTCGCGGACCGCGACATCCCCAAGAACCTCCCCCGGCGGCCGCGGCTCCGCTTCCGCCCGCCGGGCGGCGGCCGGCCGGGCACGCTCGGCCGGGCCGGGTAACGGCGGGGGCGCTTCCCTAATGAGCTCGGCCCGTCGGGATCCAAAAGACGGCGGGTCTGACTTACTTGCGCAGCTCCCGCTCCGCGAAGGGCGGCAGGACGAAGGCCGCGGCGTGCACGTCCGGGCTGTAGTATTTGAGCTGGTCCTGGAGGTGCCCCACGGGCGCGCGCACGGGCTTGACGAGGGCGTGGCGCGACTCGTCGAGGGAGCACATGATGAAGCCGATCTGGCCGCTGGGGTACGTCGGCACGCACGTGTACGCGTACTCGACGGTCGGGAAGAGGTCGCGGCACGCGGAGACGACCTTGGAGATGAGGGGCAGGTGGAGCCACATGCACTCGCCCTGCGTGCAGACCGCGCCGCCCGGCGCCAGCGCCGCGCGCATGGAGTCGTAGAACGCGGGCTCGAAGAGCGTCTCCGCGGGGCCCACGGGGTCCGACGAATCCACAATAATCACGTCGTAGCCGGGCCAGCCGCCGGGCGTTTGGCGGCGCGCGAGGGCCGCGGCGACGGCCGGGTCGCTTACGTCCGCACCATCGTCGGCGCCGCCGACGATGGTCCGCAGGTACGCCGCCGCGTCCGCGTGGACGAGCGTGAGCCGCGCGTCGCCGTACGCCGTCGCCGTCGACTCCGCGAAGAATTTCTTCGACACCTCGACGACGCCCGCGTCGATCTCGCACATGTCGATGGTCTCGACGCAGGCGTGGCGCGCGACCTCGCGCAGCACGCCGCCGTCGCCGCCGCCGACGATGAGCACGCGCTTCGGCTCCGGGTGCGAGAAGAGCGGCAGGTGCGCGATCATCTCCTGGTACGCGAACTCGTCGCGCTCCGTGAGCTGGATGACGCCGTCGAGGACGAGCACGCGGCCGTAGGTCTCGCTCTGGAAGACGAGGATGTCCTGGAAGGCGCTGCGGCTGTGGTGCAGCACCTCGCCGACTTTTAAGGAGAAGCGCTGGCCGGGCCACATGACCTCCGACTCCGCGAACCAGTTCTCCTTGTCGATGAGCGCCGCCATGGCCGTCGTTACGAGGGAGGCGAAGGCGACGATCGTGCGGTGGTGCTGCGGCGCCCGACGACGACGACGAGCCTGGTGGTGCTGGCGGCCGACGACGTGGTGGTGATCGCCAATTTGCTCAGGTTGATGAAGTGCAAGATGCAGTCGTATTGGACGCGCGTTCTGGTGCCGTTTGGAGTCTAGCCTGGCGCACCTTTCGTGCTTCGCCACTGCCCGATGTTTTTTCGTTACGACGCGTCCTTCGGTTCCGGTTCGAGGACCAGGGAGAGCGTCGGCGCGATCATGATCACCTCGGCGATGGTCGCGGACATGGGCCGGCGCTCGTCCCCGAGGCCGAGGGCCGCGCCGCCCGAGAGCTCGTGGGCGAAGACCGTGCGGATCAGCGCCTCCCGGTTCGCGGCCATGCATAGCCACCACACGAGAAAGTTCAACATGATGCAAAGAAGCCGTAGTTTCCGGCAAAGCTGCGCTTCGACGAGGTGTGGCCGCAGAGGCGAGCCCTGCACGCGATGGCCGCGCCGCCGGTGGCCTTCGCCTGCGTGGACGGCACGGACGTCGCCATCTGGCCGGCGTACGCGCCGAAGCACGGCCTCGTCATGGCGTCGCTCGACGAGCCGCGCGTGCTGTGGTGGGCGCGGGACGGCGGCCTCGAGGGGGCGGGCGCCGTCGTCGCCGTCGCCGCCGAGGCCGAGGGCCGCATCGCGGCGGCGACGGCGAACGGCGCGCTCTTCCTGCTGTCCGCGCGGAGCCGGCGCGACGCGTCGACGGGCCTCGGGTGGCGCGTCGACGCGGCGTCGCCGCCGGGCGCCGTCGACGCGCCGGCGCTCGCGCTGGGCCTCACCGTGAGCCGCGACGGCTGCGTGCTCGCCGCGGCGGCGCACGGCGGCGCGCCGACGCTCTGGCGCGCGCCGGGCGGCCGCGCGGCGCTCGAGGCCCGGGGCGCGCTCGAGCGCGAGGACCTCGTCGCGACCGCGTGCGCGCTGTCGTCGTCGGGCCTCGCGGCCGCGGCGGCCCTCGTGAGCCCCACGGGGGACCCGACGTCGCGGACCATCGCCGTCTGGACGCGGCGGGGCGTCGACGCCTGGGCGCGCTGCGCCGCGGGCGCGAGCGCGGACGCGATTCCGCCGACGGGCGCCGCGGGGAGCCTCGCGTGGCGCGACAGCGGCGGCCACGGCAAGGAGCTGCTCGTCGTCGCCTGCGCCGACGGCACGGCGGCCATCTTCGCCCTGGCGGCGCCTCCGCCGCCGGCGAAGGGCGCGCACAAGGGCGACGCGAACGCCGTCCTCGAGCTCTGGGCGAGCGTCGCGCCGCCGCGGGGCTCCGCGTGGGCGCGCGGCGCCCTTGCCGGCGTCGGCTTCGCGAGCCCCGCGCGCCACCTCGACGCCGTCGGCGACCGGCCCTCGGACGCGCCACCGCCGCGGAAAGAGCCGAGCTCGCCGCCGCCGCCCGGCCCCGGCGCCGCCGCGCGGTCGCCGCCGGCCGCGCCCGAGGACCCGGCGCGCGGCGGCCGCGCCTGGCTGGCCGTCGCCTCCGCGAACGCAGGGGGCGTCGCCGTCGAGGTGCTCCACGTCGCGCCGGCGGAGCCCGCGGCCGTCGCGGCCGCCGCGGACGGCTTCGCCGCGGGCTCGCGCGCCGTCGTCGCCGCGGGCTTCGACGGCGACGACGCGGCGCCGGAGCGCTTCCGGAGCGCCCGCGCGCTCGTTTTTGGGTCCACCGCGTCCTCCGCCGTCGCCGTCGACTTTGGCACGGGCCCCGCGGAGCCGCGGCTCGCGCTCGGCGACGCGGCGCCGCCGGCGGGTTTGGTCGTCGCGCATCCGCGCCACGCGCTCGCGGCCGTCTTCGACGAGGCCGGCGGCCGCGTCGTCGCCTTCGACGGCGCCTGGGACTCGCCGCCGGCCGAGGCGAGCCTGGACGACGACGCGCAGACCCTGAAAACGGCGGAGGAGGCCGCGGCGCGCGTCGCGGCGCACGCGCCCGCGGCGCTCGGGTCCTTCGCCGCGAAACAAGTCGCCGCGGCCGCCTTCCTCGACGACGACGACCACGCGGCGGCGCTCGCCATGGTCTGCCGCGACGGCGGCGTCGTCGTGGCGACCGTGGGCCGCGGCGGCGACGCGCGCGCGGCGCGCGCCGGCGCCGGCTTCCCCGCGGCGGCCGCGGTCCTCGCGCTCGCGGCCGCGCGCGCGGACGCCTGCGGCGCGGGCGACGCGGGCCACGTGCTCGCGACGGCGGCCGTCGACGGCGACCGGCTCCTGCTGGACGCGCGGCTCGTCGCCGGCGGTTTGTGCGCGCCGCTCGCGGCGCGCGCCGTCGACGGCGCGGGAGCGGTGGCCGCGTGCGCGCGGCCGGGCATCGTCGGCGGCGCGGCGGCGGCGCTGCTCGTGCTCGGCGGCCAGGGGTCCCTCGTCGTCTACGCCTGCTTCCGGCGCGCGAACGGCGCCTGGGCGTGGGTCGCCGAGGCCGCGGCCGACGGCC